GGTGGAACTAGGTCTAATTTATTCCCCTCCTCCATTCTTTTACATCAGTCCTACAATAATTTTTTTTTTTTTTTTAGTCCTACAATAATTTTTTAAAGTTAACATTTATTGAGCATTTGAGCCAGGTACTAATCTAAAGGGCATTACATGTATTATTTAATTCAATCCTCTCAACACTATGAAGTGGGTATTATTTCTGTTTCACAATGAGGAAATAGAGGTTTATAGGGATAATGTAATTTGCCTTAGATCACCAGTATACTAAGAGGTGGAGCCAGGATTTAAATCTGCAAAGCCTGACTCTAGAGCCTGTGTTATGAACCATTTTCAAAACATTACCTCAGTCTAGGATCTCACAACTTCTCACCTGGACTACTAGGATCTCCCAGTCTTGACTCCCTTAAAACCGTCACCCAAATTTTTAAAATGTTAATCTGACCATATCAGTCATTAATATGTTAACATGAACATTCTTCTTGGTTAGCATACTACGTGCCCTCTGTGATCTGGCTCCCATCTACTTCTCCAGGCTTTCATTGCTGTCTACATCACTTTCTTTTTTAAGATTTTATTTATTTGAGAGAGAGCTCACATGAGTGTGGGGGAGGGGCAGAGAAAGTGGGAGAAGCAGACTCCCCACTGAGCAGGGAGCCCGATGACCGGTGACCAACTGAGCTACCCAGGCGCCCCTGTCCACATCACTTTAAACTTTGCCAACACCGAAATGCTTGTAGCTTTACATACATACCACCTTGCTTCTCTTCTCTGTGCCTCTGCTCATGGTGTTCCTTCTGCTGGAAGGTCATTCTCCTTACCTCTCACTCTTTCCTCTGGCTCACTCCCTCTCATCCTGAAGATTTAACCCAGGTCTTACTTCCTCCAGAAAATGCTTCCTAATTCAGGTTAGTTTAGGAAAGCCCTCCCTCCTCAGTGTTTCTATCATGTATTGTGCCTAGCTCTAGCACTGTACTGCCACAATTTCATAATTATGTCAGTGTCTGTCAGTATTTCCCCCTTCCCAAACTTTTTTCTCCCTAACAAAACCCTAATTTTGTTTAGGTTATCTCTTCCTCCAGTCTTCGGAGGAAGCCACCCTCTCTAGCTAGCTCAAGGGGTGGATACTGATTAGATTAAGTCAATTCCCCCGAAAACCTGTTATTGGTTTAGGCTGGACACAGATCAAAGTTGTCCCAATCATATTATAAAGGAAGAACTTATATTCCATAATTGGGCAAATGGTTCTCTCTTGCACTCTTCTGCTGAGTGTTACTAAAGGAAGCAGCTATTCCTAATTTCTTCTGACTTATAATCTTATAATCAGGATGGAAATAAGCCTTATCATGAAACAGCACTGTAAATGGAGGCGCTAAGAGACAGAAAGAACCAGGGTTCTTGATGACTAATAGAATTTTTTAATCAACCAACCTTGGATGTTCTGTCATGGAGATAATTTATTGTTTAAATGATTTTTAATCAAATTTCTACTACTTACAGCCAAAAGTACCTAAATGAGGTACATTGCAGGTACTGAATTACTAGACAATTCCCAATACTAAATGAAACACAAAGAAGTAATAATTCTAGCACTTTGACCTAGTAATGCTTTGCTGAAATGGTCCTTGAAAGAAAGGAAACATTCAAATACTTAATCAGAGAAGACAGATAAGTAATGCCAAGAAAAGAATACAGATTGAACAAAGGCACTGAGGTAGAAATGGGTGTAGTGATTTCAGAGGTAGTGAGTAGAGTAGAGGAGTCTCACTAGAGTAGATGGTTTATAAGGAAAATAAAACTAGAAAGATAGGTAAATTCATAACGTGAAAACCTTCAGTTATTTTTCTCCAGTTATTTCTTTTTTAAAGGTGCATAATTTGGTTTCAACTTTATCAGTGATATTTTCTTTTTTAGGCCATTATTCATGGGTAGATGGCTAATTTTTTACCTACTTATATATCTTAAATATTTCATTTTAAAAAGTGGGATATAATTCCAATGAAAGGCAGTATTTTGGCAAAAAAGTTCATGACTATTTCCATTTATAATTGTCCAAAAGTATCTTGATAAAAATTACTTTTGCCCTCTAAAATTAAACCATTTTACAAGTGAAAACAATTCCCCATTCAAAATAAAGTATCACATGAATGTGAATTCTGTAAAATGCTAATACCTCAGAAATGTAAAGATCAGCTTGTTTTAGTAACTCTCCAATAATTAGAACATTGGAAGTAGTACCATCTCCTGTAATGTCATCCTGGGCTGTTGCTACTTTTGCTATCAGGGAAGCTGTTGGGTGTTGAATTTGCTGGAAAAAGTAAGCAACAGATCAAAAGAGAGAATGAGAGTAAAAAAAAAAAAATAGTCCAATGAAAACAAGATAACCTAAGGGCCAATAGTAAAATTAAAAAATAAGCTTCATTCTACAAGTTCACAAATTCTTATTATCAATACTTAATAAATGTCAATACCAAATTTTTTAGATTGAGAACTAATGAGGTTTGAACATTTTTAAGAGTCTTTGCTTTGGAATGCAATGACATTTCCAAAATAAGATCAAATCCTTTATCTCTAAGATGAATATACTTATTAAAATTGCAAAGGTTTTTTTTATATTTTCATATTACAAAGAACACAATTCAGTGTCTTTAAAAGATGTAACTGATTTGGAAGTATCTCTAAGCTATTACTTGGACTGTACAAAGATTTGAAAACAATCAAAATCATCTTTTATTAAGGTCTAATCCAACAAGTATTACTCATGACTGCAGTATTTAACTGACAGCCTTGGTTTAAAGATATACAATCTGTATTATGTTCTAGGCTTAGTAAGATTTATTAAAGTCAGCAGCATCAGCTCACCATCTCATGGAGTAGTACATTGCCATCTTTGGTAAGTTTGATGTCACCTGCACCAGAAACAAGCCTGTTCACAAAACAGTGATGTATTAACCTCATATGGCAAGAGTCAAGCAAGACATTCTCAGTTCTTGCCACTCACTATCCTTAATATAAAGAACTGAGCTTCAAAACTTCCAAGTGCCATGGGCCAATACCATGGTAATCACCACCATGTGCTGCCTAAAGAATCACCTCTCCCCATATGGACTATGGTGATTTCATTCCAAATGAAGCATTTACAAGTTTAAGAGAAACTGATGAGTTATGAACAGAAGTTTGGTCAAAGAAGGATGCTTGGAAGTCTCAAACCACAAAATATAAAGTTCCTGCAGGCCTTTTATTTTGATAGAATGTACCATTCACTCACTCAACTTAGTTTCTTCCCTCATCCCTCACATTTATTCGATCATCAAGTTCTTTTAACTCTACAACCTAAGTATTTCTTCAATCTACCCCCTCCTCTCCATGTCCACTGTCCTCAACATCTCTAGCCTGGACTACTTAGACAGCATCCTGGTATCTCTGAATTTGAATCTACCCCTCCCATGACATTTTTTTTTTTAAGATTTTATTTATTTATTTGAGAGAGAGAGACAGCAAGAGAGGAAACACAAGCAGGGGGAGTGGGAGAGGGAGAAGCAGGCTTCTCGCTGAGCAGGGAGCCCGATGTGGGGATGTGGGGCTCGATCCCAACACCCGGGGATCATGACCTGAGCCAAAGGTAGAGGCTTAACCACTGAGCCACTCAGGCGCCCCTATATTTATTTCTAAAAAGTAATGTGACTCAGTCAGCTCCCTGATCAAAAATCTTTCGATGAGTTTTATGTTCTCCATCACTTTCAAGGTAAAATCCAGACTATTTAGCAATGTCGTAGTTCACCTTTCCCAATCTGGCTTATGTCTACTTGTCCTGCGGCATCTACCAAATGAGATCTTGTAGGAAAATCTTGTGGTTCCCTTAATACATCATGTTTGTTTTCATTTCAGTTGGATTTACACCACTGGGCTTTCTTGTTCCTGAAGTTACTACAAGGCCTTCACTCCCACACCACTTCCAACTGGTGAACTCTTAACTTTATCTTTCAAGACTCTGATCAAAAATCTGTTATCTGAGAGGCTTCTCCTCCCTACTCCCATCAGTAATTAGTCCTTTTCCTCAATATGATTATATATATAGCTACATATAATCTTCATTTCTGTGTTCCCAGCATCCAGTTGGTATACAAGCGCCCTTTTACCGTTAATTTTAATTCTGCTCATTCCTCTTAGAATGTATTTCTCCTCTTACACATTTTAGTCCTCTTTTCCTCACTCTTCTAAGGAAAATACTGAAGCTAAGTAAATAGATGCTGAAAGGGTGAAGAGATAGGAAGAAGTATAGGCACAGAGCGTTCAATAACTTGCCTAAGACGCACAGCTAGACAATAACTTGGATTTGCACCCATGCCTGCCGGCCTCCAAGGCCTGTGTGCCCTTACCACTACAGCACACTGCCAAACGAAACCCAAACTATGCGCATACAGTCTCAAAGCGCAGGGGATTTAAACGGCTTATGGTTCTAAAGAGACACCAGGTGAACTGTTTCTACTGCACACGAACGTTAATGAAAGTGGGGCAGTGGGGGTGTCACAGCTTCACTCGGGGCCCTTTCCTCGGAAGGCTGTCCTCCCGCCCCTGGCCAGGGGTGACCTCCGGGCAGGAATGAGAACTAGGGTATCCCGTCGCTCCAGGCACTTCGCGGAACGTCTGCCTCAGAGCCCGTCATGACACCCAACAAACCCCGGGCCCTAACCGCCTCTCCAACCGCCGGGCCATCTCACATTTTCATGGTGCCCTTAGGCCCCAAGTTGGTACGCAACACATCCTGCAGCCCTCGGGCGGCGCATATATTGACAGCCAAGGCCGCCTGGGCCCGCGCCACCTGAGCCTTGGAGTTGACCGCCTTGATCGCGGCCATAGCACCGTTGAACTTGCAACCCGGCCGGCAAAAACAGCCTTACACCGGATCTCGAGAGAAACCCCGGCGCCACCGCCCGCCTTCCGGAGCCTCAGCCAATCGCCGCCGAGACAGGAAATGACGTTACCAGGCCTCGCCCGCCCGGAAGCCAGAATCACCTTGGGTCCGGGCGCCGAGATGGCGTCCTCCGCCTCCGCTCGCACTCCGGCGGGGAAGCGAGTGGTGAATCAGGACGAACTGCGGCGGTTGATGAAGGAGAAGCAGCGTCTGAGCACCAATCGGAAACGGATAGAATCTCCATTTGCGAAGTACAACCGTTTGGGGCAGCTGAGCTGTGCCCTGTGTAACACCCCGGTGAAGAGCGAGCTCCTGTGGCAGACTCACGTCCTGGGAAAGCAGCACCGTGAGAAAGTGGCCGAGCTGAAAGGCGCGAAAGAAGCCACCCAGAGTCCGTCCTCCAGCGCAGGGCCTCAGTCAGCCAAGAGGAAGGCGTCGGATGCGGATGGCCAGGATGCCAAAAGACCCAAGGCCCCTCCGCTGCCTCAGGTACAGCCCTCCACATCCGCTTTGCCCACCAACTTTGACAGAGCAGGGAAGGAGTCCTCCAGAGCGACCCTCAGTAAGGTTTCGGGACTCGGTTTACTCCCTGATTATGAAGATGAGGAGGAGGAGGAGGAAGAGGGAGGAGAAGGGAAAAGAGGGGACACTAGCAAGCAGCCGTCCGACGCACAGGGCAAGGAACACTCGCTTTCCTCGTCGAGAGAGGCAACAAGTGGTATGCTGCCAGGCGGTTTCTCAGATACACATCCTCCCAAGGCCCCTTTAATTCCTCATTCAGGGTCAATTGAGAAAGCAGAAATACATGAAAAAGTCGTGGAAAGGAGAGAAAACACAGCGGAGGCATTACCGGAAGGCTTTTTTGACGACCCTGAGATAGATGCTAGGGTACGAAAGGTTGATGCCCCAAAGGATCAGATGGACAAAGAGTGGGACGAATTTCAAAAGGCCATGAGACAGGTCAATACCATTTCCGAAGCCATAGTTGCCGAAGAGGATGAGGAGGGACGGTTGGACCGGCAAATTGGGGAGATCGATGAGCAGATAGAATGTTACCGTCGGGTGGAAAAGCTTCGGAATCGCCAGGATGAAATAAAACATAAGCTTAAAGAGGTTCTGACTATAAAAGAACTTCAGAAAAAGGAAGAGGAGAATGTTGACAGCGATGATGAGGGAGAACTACAAGATTTGTTGTCTCAGGATTGGAGGGTAAAAGGGGCTTTGTTATAGGGTTTCAAAGACCCGAGATTTTCATACCCTCTACAGTGGTACCAAAAGTGCTGTCTCTGGATAGGATACTGGTTATTTCATGCCCTGATATTTGTTAACCTAACTGGGTTGTTGAGATACAATGAGCCTGTGAAGATGGCACTTTTGAAAATTGGTGTAAAATATTCTTGAGGTAAAGTTGTTTTTGAAATTTTTGAACTATTATATACTAAAATGTCAACTTTTTCACACATTTACTTAAGTGTATAATTTTGAATTGTCAAATCTGTAAGCTGTAAATATTATATATAGTTAAATATATATTTACTTAAGTAATTCTGTTTTGAAATTTATAAATAAGTAGAAGCCAAGCCAACAGACAAGCTTTTAGATGAAAACCAAGTTTGGTATTTGGGATATGTGTGACTTTTTCTTTTCTAATCCCCTAAATCAACTCAAGAGTATTTTGCAGGAAGGTGGGGGACGGGGTTGTTTTTGTTTTTTAAATAGTCATAAACACATAAGTCATTCAGGGGAAATCAATTCTCTGAGTATTCTGTTTCTGTTTTAAAAACATGCACTAGGAGCACATGGTGATATATCCCAAATATTTCTCTTGATTAAACCAGTGATTCTTGGGTGTAGGTGCACATGGAAAGCACCAAGCTTTTGAAAAGGTGCATAAAAATCACCTTGGAGCTTTTAAAACACTCGTGTGCCCGAGGCCTACGTTTAGAGATTCAATAAATCTGGAGCAGGGCCCAGGCGTCTGTTTAGGTTTGAAAGCTTCCCAGGTTATTCTGATATACACCAAAGTTGGAGAGCTATGTGGCCCTAAATCCAGAACCCATTTATGTTTTTTCAGGCTTTGTTTTTTTTCAAATACCACGTTCCATAAGTTTACTGTCTATTGTATAAAAGAAATACTACTTTATATTTAGATTTCATCCAGTCTTAAATTTTATTACATTTCATAGTAAATTAGGGTTCAGAGTTTCTGTCCATTGTTGGGAGGATAGGTTGTTTTCTCAAGGAGTAACAATTAGCTTGTTCCAGTCATTGATTGTTTAAAATCACTCCTTTTCCCTTTAGCGATAGAGGTATTCAAATGAAAATGGAATTAGCAGTGTTCCAGGAGTAGAAATGCATACAGCATTCTCAAATGGAAGTGAGTGGTAATAATAATAGCTAAAACATAAAGCTTTTACAATATATGACAGATGTGGTTCTAAGCGCTTTACATAAACCAAGTCTAGTTGCTCTAAAGCTCAGGTTTTATGGAGAATAGTACCAAGAGATAAGGTATGAAAAAGCCTCACTTGGATGCTAGATGAAAGAATTCTTTCTGTCGGCAATGTAGGAAAAGTGGAAGTTTTTTAACAAATTATATTTGCAAAAAAAATTATGGAAGATGATTTTAGTTGCAGTATATAAGATGGAATGAATGTGGATGGGGAGAAAGAAGCTGGGAGACTACTTGGAAACTAGATTTTAAAAAAGCTAGGTGAGCAAGACTTTGATTAGTTATGGACTGAGAGTAAAGGAATAAAGTTGAAACATTTTAACAGGAAGGGCTAACATTTTAGTGACTAGAGGTAGAAGAAAAACAGGAGATGAAATTCAAGGGCTTGGGGGTTTTTAGTGTAGGTCCCTGAAAAAGTTATCTAACACTTCTTGAGTATATTAACTATCTTGCTCTCTTTGGCAGAAAGTCTGCTTTCTTGAGCTGTCAGTATAACAGAGGGCATGCCTGCCTTAAATGTATAAACCCACAGGTACTCAGAGTTTTCTATCATCCATCACTTCATTAAGAATGAGAGAATACAAAGGTGGGCTTGAGTAGTAGGCCCTGTCTTACCTTGGCTTAAGAGGCTAGGCTGATGATCTTGCAGAGCACTGTCCATTTAAAAATACAATGCAAGCCACATACATATTTTCAATTTCCTAGAAGCCACATGAAAAAGTAAAAAGAAACATGAAATTAGTTTTAATGTAACTTATTTTATCCAATATATCCAAAATATTCACTTTTCAATATATAATCAATATTTAAATATCATTAATGAAGTATTTTACATTTAGGGGGTTCTAGATTTCTGAAATCTGGGTATATCTAACTTAGCACATCTCAGTTTGGACTGGCTACAGTTCAAGTACTAGCCATATGTGGCTAACAAGAAAGGATAGCACAGACTTAAAGAGAAAGTTGTGTAGGAGTGAAAAAACATGCACAGGAGATAGCAGACCAATTTAGAGTGGAATGTTCATTCCTGACAACAGTGGAAGTTAGGATTAGAAAGGTAGATTATGAACCGTTATGGAAGATCTTGAACTCCATGCTCGAAGGAGTTGGAACTTTTAAGTCAACAATTGAATATCCTTGAGGTTGTTGAATCCTTAATTATAACAGTTAAGGAGTTTAAGGAATGCCATTACTATACATAAAAACAGCAGTGGGTTTTTAGGAGGGACAGAAAGCTCTGTTCCCCATGCTTTGTATCCCAGAGAATGAATGGTGGGGCCCTGAGCAAAATCAAGGAAATCCTTGTTGGGTCTTTGATCAATGTAAAAAGCTACAGGAATTAGTGGATCCTTCCTGATCCTCCACACATTGGAGAGCTCCTTTATACGTCTTTGAGCTGGGTCAAATAGGTTTTGGCATTAGACTTCAAACCCACCAACGTTCCCAAATTGTAAGACTTAGTCCCATGGATTTCTTCGAATCATTCTTCTCTTTTTAGAGAACCCCTTCATTTAGCCAACAATTTATTAGAGTTACTGTAAATGCTACAAAGGTAATCCTCTCACCAATTCACTTACCAATTTAATGTAGTTCCCCTAACTGGAGGGGAAAAAAAGCTGAACTAACTAGCCTTGAAATGTAAATTTGCCCAGTGGCTTACAACTTGGAAAATACTCTCACTTTTGTATTTCCTTTAATGATGAAAGTAATGACTACTTTTTATACACCAGGAAACGAGGCTGTGGAATTAAAACTCCAGGAGAAAAATTAATTTAGTGGTAACGATCACTAGATTAGTATGGAGCAATAGGAAGAACAGCGGAGTTGGCAAGAGAAAACAAGACACAGGTTCAAGTTCCCACTCTACATTTTAAGGGTTAGTGATCTTGGGCAAGTCACATCTCCAAACCTTAGTGCACCCTACTACCAAGTGATGATAATGTGGGGGGTGCCTGGGTGGCTCAGTCGGTTAAGTGTCTGCCTTTGGCTCAGGTCATGATCTCAGGGTCCTGGGATCAAGTCCCACATTGGGCTCCCTGTTGTGCGGGCAGTCTGCTTCTCCCACTCACTCTCCCTCTGTGCTCTCCCTCTCTCTCTCTCTCTCTCTCTCTCTCTCTCTCTCAAATAAATAAAATCTTAAAAAAAAAGATGCCTCAGGTCACATGACGTGTGAAGGGTTTATAAACTGAAATGCAATACAAGTATGTCTTTTACAGATGGTCCCCCACTTAAAACGTTCTATGTCACGATTTTTCGACTTTACAATGGTGGGAAAGTGATACACATTCGGTAGAAACTGTACTTCAAATTTTGGATTCTGAATTTGAATCTTTTCCTGGGCTAGCGGGGGGCAGTACGACAATCTCCCGTGATGCTGGGCAGAGGCAGTGGGCCACGGCTCCCAGGCAGCCACTGTACCCACACAACTATTCTGTTCTGCACTTTGAGTGAAGTAGTCAGTAAATCACATGGGACATTCAACACTCTATTATTATAAAATAGGCTTTGTGTTCGATTTTGCCCAAGTGTAGGCTAATGTAAGTGTTCAGAGCACGTTTAAGGTAGGCTAGGCTAAGCTGTGATGTTTGGTGGGTTGGCTATGTTAGATGCATTTTCAACTTACGATTGGTTTATCGGGACTTACCATGGGATTACATCCCAATAAACCCATCGTAAGTTGAGGAAGATAGCTTAGTCTCCCCCTGCCACATGCTAACTTGATTTTAGTCTAATAATTCAATGCCCCTTAATTCCCTCTTTGAAACTAAGGTAATTAGAGCAGGTGATTTTCTTGAGACTTCTTTTAACTCCAAATTTTTAATTTCACCGACACAAGTGGCATCTCACCTTTTAAACGTTTTTAAAGTCGTTCAATTGACTATCTGGAGACAGATGGCTAAAGTATTACTGTTTTTACTTACAAGATTTGCCCACCTTAAGTCCCATTTGTCTTGGTGTAATTACGAATAGTGCCCTGCCCCTTCACTCTCAACACTCTCCTTTTCTGGAGGTATAGATACTCACCTAAAATTTTGACAGGAAGAAAAACCACTTTCTAATGAACACGGAGTCAAGGTCTCAGTGGAAATAGTATGTTTCCTGTTAATGATGCACTAATTGGCTGGCTACTTGGCTGGATGTTTGTGTAGGGGGATTTGAGTAAGTATATGGGTAGGAATGGTGGCTAGATAGATCATTTTAGATTGCTTTTTAATACTAAGAATCTAGTAGCCTGTATATCAGGAATTACTTGAGAAGCTTTAAATTTGGGGCGCCTGGGTGGCTCAGTCATTAAGCATCTGCCTTCGGCTCAGGTCATGATCCCAGGGTCCTGGGATCGAGCCCCGCATCGGGCTCCCTGCTCGGCGGGGAGCCTGCTTCTCCCTCTCCCACTCCCCCTGCTTGTGTTCCCTCTCTCGCTGTGTCTCTGTCAAAAAAATAAAATCTTTAAAAAAAAAAAAAGGAAGCTTTAAATTTGAACAGGGAAAAAAATCCCAAAACTCTGCATCCTATGTTCTTTTTTCTTTTTTCTGCATTCTCTTTCCTGTCTACAGTTCCTCCCTCAGTGATCTCATCCATTCCTGTGCGTTTAACTATCACCTTTATACTGGTGACTCCCAATTTATATCCCTAGCCTTGACCCTTCTCCTGAGAGTCATCCTTCATTCCCCTTCATTCCCCCCAAATCTAATGCATTAGCCAAGTCCTGGCAGCTCTCCCTCTAAAATATGCCCAGAATCTGTCTCCTACTTTCTGTCTCCACCGGTCCTAGCCACCATCTCTTGCGTTAGTGTGCAAGAGCACCTGTTCTCGCATGCACACCCTAGCCACAGTCAGTTAACAAGTAGAGTGATGTTTTAAAAATGTATGTCATGTCACTGTCACTGTCACTGAAAACCCTTCATCATATGCTTCCATCACACTTGGGGGAAAAAAAAAAATCCAGGCCCTTATTAAGTTCACATGGTGCTCAGCATTTGCTGATTCAAATGTCTACTACTTGTGAGCTAATGACCGACCCCAGATCCCGCTAAAGGGAGGTGGATAGGGCAGGAGAGCATAATGCTCTATGTTGAAATCAATTATCATCATTCAGTAGCAGCCTGGCATGGCCAAGTCTTTTTAATTATCAAGAGGCATGACAAGATTGTTTTTGTTTTTAGTGAAATCGCAATAACACCATGTGGGCTGAATGTGATCCATAGGCCCCCACGCAGCGACCTGTCTTCTATCTTCATCTGCTACACTCCCCACTTTATTCTCCATGTCCCAGTCCTGGCTGGTGAGCTTTC